CACTTAACTTCGCCTCGCATTGATACGCGCTCCAATGCATTTGTGATTTATCAGCCGGACAGGCATTTGGCATTTGGCATTCGGTATTCGGCATTCAGGCACTCAGGCATTCAGGCAGCTGCCTGGCCACCAGCTGACCACCACCAGTAGCTCATCTGCCATGGCCGGCTACTGGCCCACAGCTAACATGGCTAACAGCGCTAACATGGCTAACATGGCTAACATGGCCACTTGGTTTTAGTTACCACTGCGTCGCTCAGCGTGCGTTCTTGGCGTTTGTTAAATTGAAAAGTTTTCGTATTAAGTTTATTGCGACGACCCGATGCTTATAGGCGTGGCAAGCGGGCTGCCAGACGAAAGGCGGGCGTTGGCGATTGCATTCGATGCTGCTGCCGCTGCTGCTGTGGCTCTGTCCGTATGGATGCTGTATGCGATATGATTGCGCATATGTTTTGTGTGCCAAGTTACAAATCAGTTTTCCCAAGAATTTGCTGTGTTGGCGCTGATATGATCAAATGTCATGCATTATACACTGCGCTACATGCTGAATTGATTTCAGTTCTCTAATAGCGAAACAGACTAAAATTACAATGAATCGAGTTAGTAGAGTTGAAGTACAAAAAAAAAATTAGGCCTCAATTTTGAAGTTGAGTAAACATTAATATTATTGGGAATATATTTAAAAGATTTCAGCATTGTAAAAATTAGCTAGTTTATCTCCTCCACTTATCATTCATTTCTGGCAATTGTGCATGCCGCCTGAAGTTTGTAGCCCAGTGCTCTTGCTTAATACAATTTCAATCTTAAGAAATACATGTAAAATGCATGAAATTATAAGCCAAGCAATTTGGCTTACCAGCCGAACGGGCGGACCTTAAACATAACCGTCTCAGCATCAGCTGCAGTCAGAGTTTCAGTTGGAGCTGAAGCTTGAATCTTTGGTGCAGTTGAACGCAAAATGCGCCCCGTGGAGCGAGTTGGTAACAAACAGCGACATTATAAAAGGTGTAGCCCCGGTTAGGATCGGTGAGGCCCGGAACGAGTGGAGGAATCAACTGTGTCCAGTGGCCTGCAATTTTCATGATAATTAAATGCAAAAGAGCAGAGAGAAGAATTCTAAAATTATTATAATTAAATGCACCCGCCAAAGCGCATTTCAGCTGAATTGTTTTATAATTTCGAGCAGCCAGCAGACACTGCCAGCTGTCCGCTGCACCTGATCGCAGGCGCTGACTCTGACTCTGACTCTGACTCGGTTGGGCTCTGGACAGGGATCAGTTGATCACTTGCAATAAACTAAATATTTCCGCTCTTAAATTATTTATTTTGATATTTGGTTAAGGCAAACAGCGCCCGGAGACAAGACAGACAAATGTTGAAAAATATTTTGATAGCGGCCGCCTGGGCATAGCAAATTAGCCCCGAATGGCCGAATGACACAGGTCGATCTCGATCTGGATACCAATGCATCAATGCATCAATGATGAAGCTCATCATCATCATCACGAACATCATTATCGTGATCATCGTCATCTGTAATTCGTGCATAAATGCATGTCATGACAGCTAGCACGGGCACGACATGTAACACCTTTCAATGTTGTCGTTGTTTGGTCCTCTAGTCGAAATGAATATGTCAAAATTTACAATTCGTATGAGATGATCGCGCATTGAGCGTCTCACGATGACAGGCATAATGTTTTGCGTGCTGCATGCTCCAGGAACACTAAAGACTGCTCGATTTTCTTTTGAACAAATCCTTCACAATTATTTTCTGTTGATTCACAGCACTTGTGGGCAACACAGTGAGGCAAAACCGCAGCCACACTTCATAGCCAAAGAGATGATAATAAATCAAGGCGCATTAAAAGTGTTTTCAATTTCATCGTAACCCAGCTGCGCTGCTGAAGAACGCAACCTGACAACGACGACTCTCTGATTAAGATGATGTTGCTGATGTTGATTTGCCAGCGTTTGTGGCTCTGCCTCTGGTTGTGGTTCTGGCTGTGGCTCTGGCTGTGGTTCTGTCTGTGGCAGAGGCTCGAAATGTAGTATATGATTTGGTTGTTGTCCCACGTCATGTTCTACATGCTGCCGAGCATCATTTGAACATTTGCCGCACACCAAACTGACCCATGATTTATGTCTATTGGTCGCCGTGGCACGGCTGGAAAGCCAAGTAGCCTAACAAAATAGAAATATTATGCTTGTGATGTGTATGTGGGGGCTTAGTTGATTTTGATTATGATTTTTATTTCGTTTTTCGTTTCGATTTTTGTTTTTTTATTTTTTTTTTTTATTATTGATTTTGTCATGGCGCTGTGCCTTTTGTATTGTTTCACTTAATGGCGAAGGCCCACAATTAACTGGTGATGTGTGTAGCGAACGCCTCCTGCGGCTTTTCACGCATGCGCGCGATTTGATTTTGAAATTTTGTGTTGTGATTTCGACACGCATTCCACTGTGCTCGCCATTTCGTTACGCAGCGCTCCGCCATCTCCGACGAATTGACGAGTTCAAGATGGATCGAGCGTTTGGCATTCAGAGCAGACCTTCAGGCGACCGCCTAGGTTGCTCGATCGACCCCCACCTATTGGTGGCGCCCGCGTAGCCCTTGGAGCTCCCCATGGCTACGCGGAAGGCAAACGGGCATAGACTTACGCTCACGCACAGTATCGCATAGCCAATTAAACGTTTGACAAATGATTTGACATTTCCATTTAGCCAAATGGCTCGCACTCCACTCACTCCCCCGGCCTTTCTACGGCTGCAGGATTAAGTAGTTCTACGCTGACAGCGCATGCGGGCCTGAGAATATAAATTGGATTCAAAATACTTTGCTCGATCTTGCAAATATATGATGGTGTTGACGAGTCGCTCTTGGCGATCGGACGGACGCTCGCCCATTGACAGTAATTCAAAAGAAGATTATTAAATTTTCTTCCAGCCCTTGGCTTGATGAATACAAAACGATGAACAATTAATGTACTTAAAACAAAACATTCGACTGTCCGGGCTGATGTAAATTGCTGGAATCGCCCGCTTTCTCCGCACACATAATTGAGACATCATTGAGTTGGACTTTGGCTGATCTTCTTGTGGAAATATATATTTTGAATTGATCATTTAGTGATTTGAGTAGCTTAAGCTGAGCATTATTTATATTATTGTGTGTTGATAAAACTAGGTAAAATAAAAAATATAATTTTTTAGCCTAATGTAAAACAGAATTATATTACAATAATATCACCAACCCAATCCCTCTTACGTATTAAATATGTCTATCTAAATATTACGATTTGGGATATTACAAGAGAAGAGGTGAGTATGAAAGACCTATCTAAAACAAACCTAGAGCACAGCTTAAAAGAACAACAATTAATAAGTGTTGCTCTATATTATATTCTTTATTCATTTATCTCTAAATTGACTCTAGTTATGGTCTATATTTTTATATTAATAATTAAATAATAGATAAATACAGATTCCAGAAAACGAAAGCCTAAATTTTATTTGGATTTGATATAATTTATAAATATCTCATGTCTCGACCAATTTAAGTGCAGAGTACAGAGGCCAACAGCTATGCTATTAACATAATGCTGTTAAGCGGAGGAGCAGTTCCTGTTAATGTCATCGGGCATTAACAACTTACAAAGATAACTTACAAAGTAATGCTTCTACTGATATTTTATATCAAATTTTTCATTTACAATCTTCAAAGCTTTAGTTTTCAATATATTCATTGTCAATTAGTCAGCAAGAGGCTTTAAAGATTCTTGAAGAAATGGAACCCAAAATATGTATATAGTTTTCCTAATAAAAGTAAAAAAGCAAAATAATAATAATAATTTTATTATACATATTATGTATTTAAATGTTTCACCCAAATTAAATATTGAGTTCAGATTTTATGACTATTTTAGCTAAGGAAATGGACACAATATTTCCTTCATTACTTATATATATTCGTGTATAAATTTAGAGTTAAAAAAATTTCTTCTCTTCAGCCAATACAATTTACAATTTATCCCCTAATTTAAGTTGAGTTTAATTTAGAGACACAAAAGGATGGCACATTGAGCTAATAACCGCAGGCCCAAAATAAAGTTTCACATGATTAGATTAAGAGTATGAAATGCATAGCGAACAGCAATGAGAACTATTTGCGACCCATCCACAATTGTTGAAATGAGTGGGAATCGGTCTCGGACACGGTTTGTATACACACGCACACACACACACACACACACACACACACTAACACACGCATGAAAGCATAGCAGAAGGCGTCGTGTCCCTAATTCAATGTGTCAATTGAGTAGCATCGTTGCCGTCGCCGTCGTCATCATCGCCGTTTGGTGTCGGTGGTGCGGACTCTCTGCTGGCTGATGAAGAATAAGGGAGTTTGATTAATGTAAAAGCTGCCACTGATATGTCACACGCATGTCAAATTCTGACATTTGACATTTTGCAAGCGAGAGACGCCAACGCCAACGCCGTGGCGCGCTCGCATGGTGGCTGCCTGGTTGGATGAGCAACGCACACCGCCAGCAGACCAGCACCACAACACACACACACACACAGCCAGCAACCACCAGCAGCAAGAAAGTTGAGTGCAAGCGACGAGTTTCTCGTTTGCTTGCTTATTTAAAAATACATCGAATGCGCGGGGCGTTAATACATCCGTTAGAGTGCCATTTTGTATGTCAGCCCAGAGCAGAACCCTCAACCCCCGCACCACACACCCCACCCTTGGCTAGCACTGAGGCTGGGCAGAGACAGGTGGAGGGACGAAGTTTGACCTCCTGACTGGTTGTTTGCATCCCTTTTCCATCAGAGCACATCCAGCACATCCAGCACATCCTGCGACTTGGCTCTGCTTCACTGCTGCTGGCACTTGACAACGACGACATTTGCGCATAAAAAATGCAGCATTATTTGACTGCGAATTAATGTTAAATTGTTGTAGGACGCTGCCACTCGGGCGAGCGGTTCGGCTCGGCTCGGCTCGGTACGTTGATGTTGATGTGGGAAATGTCACATTGTGACAGTTGACGCCGACAAGTGTACGCCTTGTTGTTACTGTACATTTTTATAAATATTTAATTATATTTTGTTTCCATTTTCGGCACAGGCTTTGGCTCCAGCTCCAGCTCCGGCTACGGCTCTGGATGTGGATGTGGATGTGGCTCGCCGGTCGTGACCCACCCCTTAGCCCACACTTGATAAACATTTGATTAATCACACGCACACAATTACATATACAACTGCAGCTACAGAAACAGATACAAATACAATTTTCACACTCTGGTAAAAGATCAAAGCACTCTTCTGCCTTCGGCAATGCAATAACAGTCCGTCAATTCGTCCAGACCGAGGCCCCAACTAGTCAGTGAGTGAAACTATTCGCGCATTATGTCTAAATAAACAAACAGAACAGCGACTGGCACTGCCTGATCGATTCCAATCCAAGAGCAAGAGGAAGAGTTAAGGGAAATCTATGGAAATCGTTTGCCATCTTTCGATAGTTGCTCGTGGCTGCGTGAAGACTTCGTTCTTCTGTTAGTAAGATGTATGGCGCTGTGTGTATTTCATGTGGGTGGAAAATTTATTTGAAAAACAATTTTCATGAAAAGTATGCGCATACAAAACTGACAGCTTTTGGCTTCAAGAAAAATCAACAAACTGCTCGGGACTATAAATCGCAATCTACTGACCCAAACATAATGTTGTTTGTAAAGAAACACATGGGCGGGATCTGGATCTGGCCCAAACTGAATGCTGAATGGGCATAAATAAATGTTAGTTGGTTTCGAAAGCCACTGGAACAGCATAGTCTAGTGAAATTAAAATGCCATTATTGCAGCCTAGCTAAATAAATAATTAATATGGGCCAACACATTGACAATGACTTGACTCTATTGATGTAATAAAATAGGGCAATATTGTCATGTCTAATCAATTAGCTACATTAGATATAATATAATGAGATTGAGCTGTAAATATTTTAATAATAAAAGAATACTTTCTGCACAATTTTAATATGTAAATAAACTCGAACCAAATACAATAATACTGAATGACATCATGTTTAATCTAATAATGTTGGTGCCTTTTCTTTGTTGATAGTAATACTAGGAAGCCTTGGCTTATTTTAAATATTTAATTAATTACATTTGAAATGAGTAAATTATTTCAAATTAAGTCAATCAATCTTGCAGCTATCTACATTGTGCCTTTCCAATGATTTAGGCACATTACTATCTATGTTATATATGCCAGGTATTCAGCGTCATAGTCACTCTCTCTACCCTATGCGATCCTGCACTCGTACATATTCCAGTTACACTGAGGTTTCACCTGTCGCCCGGACATAAATTCACAAGCACTCATAACGGCAACGAACTTCATTTTCATTAGCAAAAATGTTGAGTTGCCCGTTGGAGTTGGAGCTGGAGTTGGGCCCGGCAGACATGCCAAAAAGTGCAGCCATCAGGCAAACGGGTATTTACGGCCTCGATGGCGACTGGCGCATGAGTTTTGGGGGCCGTGCGTGGTAATGCGGCTAAAGGTAGCGACGCCAGCCGCAATGGGAAATTTATTGGCTGCGCTGCGCCAGCTAAAATCAGAGCCAAGTGCTCATAAATAAATATCGGACGAGGTGGCTGAATCAAATGATGTGCCCTAAGTGGGGAGCAGCTCCTACCTGGCGAACTCTTTCGGCGACTCTGGGCTGATTAGCTATTCCGAATGTCGTTCGAAGCTACACACATACACATACACATACAAATATAAGAGTCACATGTGCGAACTGGGTATCTGTGGATTAGGTTCATCTTCACTTCGCCTCCAGTCATCGGAGTGCGCGACTTTTGTGCTGGCCTTTGTCTTGGGGGACCCACAAAATGTGAATGTGTCTCGCAAGCTTCGACTTATAATTTGCATATTAATTACATTACTGCTGCCCGGCTGAACTGTGCTGAACTTTAGCTTCGACAGCATCTAATCGGTAATGCCGAGAAATTAAAAAAAGATTAATTTAAAGCGATCAGTGAACGCCATTTGCTCATTAGGCAGCCGTCGCAGCCAGCGGATCGGCAAACGAGCTTAGCGCTGTTTTCATTTATTTTTTTTTCTTATACTTTTTTTTTCTTATTTTTTGGAAGGCCAATCAAAAATTTAAATGAAGCTGCAAAGTTCCGAAACTAAGTTGAAATGCTTAACTTTTTTCCCCCTGAATATTTCGTATTTTGTTAAATTAATCTCAACAAAATTCAAATACGCAGCTAGCCGCAGCCTTTGAGAAACAAAATAACAAATACCAAAATCTTTGCTGTGCTATTTTAGTGCTCTGACGCATCTTTATATATCAAAGTCACATGCGCTTTAAGTTTGTTAGCAGATAGTATTTTAAATTCAGGCGCAAAAGCTATGTGTGTGTGTAGTTGAGTTTTAAAGAATCGAATCGTACTACTGCTAGTATGCATATAATGACCAGGATAGTCGAAGATGCTTTTACTTTATAAAACAAAACAACTTGTAGGAATTACAAAATTTTGTGGGGGTTTTCTATGGAACTCTATAAAAGCGGCTTGGTTTATACAATAGATGAACATTACTTTTTAATATATTTATTAAAGCGTGAAACATTCTGATATGAATAATTTTTAATAAATTTATTTAAACTTGAGACAATTGAATTCCACATAAAAAAAAAATTCTTAAATAGAAATTTACAAAATGTATTTAATCTATATTCTGAAAGTTAACTGAAGCAGATCAATTGATAAGTAATATTGTAATTAAAATAAATTAATACAAATTTTTATTCACGATTAGATAAGATAATTCATGAAGGAAGAAATGTTTTGATTAGAAAATCTGTTATTCTTATTGGTCTAGTCGAAGATCCAATATATTTAGTAAGGTTTTGGAAACTGTATAAAATACATGTATAAATTCAAATTTACTACAAGTTCAATTTTTGGTATTTGTAATATAAAAATTTTTTGATCTTTTACAATAACAATAATATTATTATTTTTATACCCTGAACCCATTTTCAATGGGAAATCAGGGTATAATGGTTTTGTTGAAATGTATGTAACAGGGAGAAGGAGGCGTGGCAGACCCCACAAAGTATATATATTCTTGATCAGGGTGACGAGCTGAGTTGATTTGGCCCTGTCCGTCTGTCTGTCCGTCTGTCCGTCTGTCCGTCTGTCCGTATGTATGAACGCGTCGATTTCAGAAGATATAAGAGCTAGAGACTTCAAATTTTTTTTAAAATGTCCGTAATTACAGCGCGCATATCAAGTTTATCATTAAAAATCGATAACTCATCTCGATCTTTTTTATCGATAAAAAATCTTATCGAAACCCAGTTATAAAATTATATCTTCTACACCTTTATTGCTAGAGTCTCCAAATTTTTAATGTATGCTTATATGCAATTTATACAATTTCGGTTTTTGTTAAAATTTACCCCCCACCTCTAAATTCAGCCCCTCACCCTCACTTTTGTAAAAAGCGTATTTCAAATACTAGAGACTTGTGCTTTGGCAATTACATGCATATTCATGTTATAATCATAATCTAAAAGTTTCATGAAGATCGTACGTCCATAAAAAAAGTTATTAAACAATTAAGTTCTCATAGTAAGCGCACACTGCCGCCCATGCGTGTTCATGCGTGGTTGCTTGTGTGTGTATGTGTTGGTGTATGTGTGTGTGTATGTGTGTGTGTGTGTGTATGCGTTTGTATATGTATGTGTGTGTGTGTATGTGTGTCTGTATGCGTGTGTGTGTATGTATGCCTGTGTTTGCGTACGTGCGTGTGTGTGTGTGTGTGTGCATGTTTCTTGTGTAAGCTGAAAGACGCGAAAAATTATTGAAATAGCTATTACTCCAAGGGTTCAGGGGATCTCGTAGTCGAGTAGTCTCGACTAGAGCTTTCTTACTTGTTTATTATTGATATTATTATTATTATATATATTATTATTTTTATTCTTTCTATTTATTTATTTAATATGTTTTTAATTAAAAGTCCACTTTTTCTTATCTATCAATTAAAAGATCTTTTGCTGAACAAATTCTTAGGTTATATATTGTGTGAACTAGAGTTGAAATTATTTATCGCTTCAATTTGCCACACTTTTATATTCAACTCGTTTTAGATTTTCAAAATTGAAATGTTGAATTAATTATATATAAACAAGTAAGAAAGCTCTAGTCGAGACTGCTCGACTACGAGATCCCCTGAACCCTTGGAGCAATAGATATTTCAATACTTTTTCGCGACTTTCAGCTTACACAAGAAACACACACACACACACGCACGCACGCACGCACGCACACACAGATAAACATACACACACACGCATATAGACACACATACACACACACACGCATACAGACACAAACGCATACACACACACACATACACACACACATACACATACAAGCAACCACGCATAAACACGCATGGACTGCAGTGTGCGCTTACTATGAGAACTTAATTGTTTAATAACTTTTTTTATGGACGTACGATCTTCATGAAACTTTTAGATAATGATTATAACATGAATATGCATGTACTTGCCAAAGCACAAGTCTCTAGTATTTGAAATACGCTTTTTACAAAAGTGAGGGTGAGGGGGTGAATTTAGAGGTGGGGGGTAAATTTTAACAAAAACCGAAATTGTATAAATTGCATATAAGCATACATTAAAAATTTGGAGACTCTAGCAATAAAGGTGTAGAAGATATAATTTTATAACTGGGTTTCGATAAGGTTTTTTATCGATAAAAAAAGATCGGGATGAGTTATCGATTTTTAATGATAAACTTGATATGCGCGCTGTAATTACGGACATTTAAAAAAAATTTGAAGTCTCTAGCTCTTATATCTTCTGAAATCGACGCGTTCATACATACGGACAGACGGACAGACGGACAGACGGACAGACGGACAGACAGACGGACAGGGCCAAATCAACTCAGCTCGTCACCCTGATCAAGAATATATATACTTTGTGGGGTCTGCCACGCCTCCTTCTCCCTGTTACATACATTTCAACAAAACCATTATACCCTGATTTCCCATTGAAAATGGGTTCAGGGTATAAAAAGTTTCCGATTGATTGTTTATACAAATCTAAGCCACAAGTTCAAATGTTCATCGACCTTGGTTATCATTATAATCCCCAACGAATGATTCGTGATAAACCAAAAGCGAATCAAAGTTAAATCTGCATAATTTGCTGTAAGTCGAGTCAAGAAAGTTTTACATTTGCCTTTTAAATGAGGACCTGGCTTACCATATTCCACTCTTGATAAGTCTGATTCTATTAAAGCGAACTTGGACGAAAGATTGATTATGTTATTGGCATGCAAATGGAATCGAAGCAATCTAGTGGTTTTTCAGTTTTGCATAAGGCAAGATTCATTTAAGTAGTAAGAGAGTTTCCTTTGTCTATAATCCTTATATCAGGTCATCGGGCATTACATGGGATTTGGGCTAAGAAAACCGCATCATCCGTCAACTGACAGATGATCACGCGGATACAGATACGGATGCGGATGCGGATGCGGATACGGATGGTGCAGCTGATGCGAATATGGATGAGGCTGACCCTTCTTGCCGGCACCCAAAAAGTCAACACCGTGATGAATAGCGTGCTAATTGTTGACAGACAAGCAGCCGAGCGCATGAATGTCAAATGCACAACAAACACAATGTGCGACATTTGATTGAGATCACTACGGCAAGGGGCGGCCTGGCCAAAAGGACTCGGTTACGAATGCGAATTACTAATAACAAAACAGTTGACAATGCAGTCCCAATCCAGCCCGTTTGTTGTCGCTGCTGATGGTGACGGTCGGTGGTGGTGGTCTTAGCCTGACATTGAGCCGCGTAACTCGTCGTCATCGTCATCATCGTCATCATCAACGGGAGACAAGTCAGGTTTACCCATATACGATTATCCTGCATATTTATATGTCTTTACCCCTTGCCACGCTCGACTCCTGCTCAGC